TAAACTAACTTAACCTAGTAAACATATTTAGTCCATTACATAGCAATTAGCAAATGCATCTAGGTCACCACACATGCTCCAAAGGAAGGGTATGAAAGGCCCAATTTCTGGACTGAGGGATATGAAATAACTGTTTGCTGAAGTAAAGAACTAAAGTGTGCCATATGTTCTATGCCCTTTTACCTCTAGGCTTCAAATAGCCCGTTTAATTTTGTTGTAAGAAAGACTTGGGACTAATTTGCTAGCAAAACTCTTGCTGCCGGCTGTTCAGAGTTTGCCTGTTCCCAGATATCACAGTCTGGGGTTTCCAGAAACATAGCTGCAGAGGATGTGGCTCATATACATGATTTTCAGCACCAGCCTCATGGCATAGCAGTGCCTTAATGTCCTGGTCATGGACTAATTTTTTTCTCTGCCCATTTTATCTGCCTCTTTTAATCTCAGCACATTCACCATTTTCCACCACATTCTTCCAACGATACATGTGATTATCTTTAAGTTTGTTCTTCGAGAATATACTTTGTCTACTTCCAGAGACAGCATTTCCCCAAATAAAACTGCACCTAAACTATAAAAACAACTGCTCAGTAAAGTTGATCTGAAAAAAAAATTGTAAAAGAGAATTGTGCTGTTATATCTCTAACTTGGTTGCTTTTCTCACTTTTTGATTTCGCTTTTGCCCATTTTTTAGTTTTCATTCTTCTATAGAGAACAAAATGAAATTAAACTTTCTGTGTCAAGGGTTCTCTTCAGTCTCCTGTTTTGTTTCTCTCTCTCATTGCCCTGGCTCTCATCCTTTATGTAACGCTTTTATCTGCCAAGGTCAGGTCTGAGAGACAGAAGTGAGAGAGCTGGCAGACCAATTCTTTCCACTGTTGCTTGCAAATGACAATGAGCAAGACTTTGCAAACACTGAATATTTTCTCAAGAGTGAAATACTCCTGCCACTACACCCCAGTTTTTCATTATTTGGTAGCCCCACAGCTCATCTACTCCCTTGGAAACATCTCCAATAGGTGCTTCACCTTCTGTGCTTTGTAATGAGCTTAAATTAGTGGGTTAGATCTTTTTCATTTCTTTATGCATGGGACACTAAAGTCTGGGAAGTATAAGAGAATGATAACCATGAACATGAATATTTCCCAATGAGGAGTCATGTTGTCATTCTCCAGCCCTACCAGAATCCTTCCCTGTGTTTGAGTGTTAGAATTCATTTCATGGCTTCAGCATCTTAAAAGTGGCTAGTCAGCTATTTTTGCTATTGTTTTGACAATAGCTAATTTGTCTTTCTGTAGAGTGGACTCAGAACTTGCATTGAAAACATCACAGGGTGGGAAAGGAGAGGTGACCTTCAACATCAGCATTCAAGCCCAAAATTCAGAAGGGGCTTCTGGGCTTTTGTCCCAGATGCTTAATCTCTGCCTGAGCTTCACACTCCAACAGAAAACCACAAAGGCGATTACACCAATACAGCACGATCACTGACTTGCCACTTATTTTCAAAGCTGTGTTTAAAAGTAAAATGCCACTTCTTAGACTTCCTCCTTGTTACGCAGCCTGCTTTAATGTTCCATCAAAACAAAGAAAACAACTGTTCCCACATTAGGCATACATTAGCTATGGGGAAAAAAAAAAGAAAAACAATTCATTATTACACGCTTTGGAAAAGGAAAGCAGCCAGGGTGTGTGCCTAGACAACATATTTCTTTAGAAATATGCGGTTACCTTGAAGAAGAGAGGGCTCTTCCCAGCTTGCCAGTATAATGAATGATTCAGGTGCGAATGGAAACACATGAAGGGAAAAGTAAAGATCTAAGGAAGACAGTTTCAAAACTGTAAGGCTAAACAATGTCTCCTCAGACCTCACCCACTCAAATTCCTGCCCCACAACTCAGCAAAAGGAGACAAGCTGCCTTGATACTGGCACCCTGCTGCAGTCATATAAAAAAAAAGGCAAGTATTGAAACCCACAGAACAGATGGCAAAGGAGGCATTTCAAGTACTCTCAGATCATCCTGTGAGTTGAGAACAGATCTTGACAAGCTTCGGGTTATTGAAAATGGATCCAAGCAAGAGCTGAGGCTGCTGCCAATTTCCCTCTCCTTAATTACAATCAATTTCTGCTGTGTGCACACCAGAAAGTAAAAAAGGGCATTCCAAACTTCAGTGTGCGGAGATGGGAAGTACAACCTGTACTCATACACTTCGTTCATAATGCTGAATGCAGAAGATGGTCAGAACGCAGAGGAACAGGGGCTACTTGAACAGAATAATTTATGCCAGTTGCTCCCACAAAGGATACTGGCAAGGACTGCTTTCCTCATTACTCTCTTTGGAAACAATTTTTACACATCCCACCAGTAATGTGAGACTATAAATTAGTCCAGATAGATCACTTAGAGGGAACAGAAAAGATTTTCCGGATCAGAAATTAGCAGTGCATGCTGATGTATTTGGTTTTGGTATTGTCTTCAGTGGTCATCCAAGAATCTGGTAACAACAAAAAGCAAACCTATGAAGCCAAGTATAAAGACAGCCCTTCAGTATAACACATTTGTTTAGTGCTGTAGGAGACCCCACCTCAGCTGCCCCCAGTCACCTGAAAGCTGGCTGTCCCAGGCTGACCTAATCACCTGAAGCTTGTTCATAAATAGCAGCACCTTCACGAGGTGGTTTTGGCTCCCCTTTCTCAGAAACACCTTTTAGGATGAGAACAGCTTCCCGGAAATGTGTGTTTGTCTCTGCTGAATGAGAAGGCAGCTTGGGATGACAAGGTTAGGCTGGGGCTGCAGTTCAGCTGTACAGTGAATACAGTCTTAGGGCTCCAGCCTAACTGTGGAAACATTTTTTGATGGCTTGACTTCTTATCGGCAGGACTTGCTCCCGACTTAGCATTACCTGTGCTCTCACAGCCAGGAGAAAGACACCATAAAACAGCATAAACATGATGTCATGTGCTCAAATTAATCTGATGGAAATGACGAGATGTACCAGCATGGGATGAGGCTCAGGTTAGGGCACTTCATAAGAATTAGGGATGGTGAAACACCACCTGGGGCAGCTGACGCTTTTGCTGTCAGGGGGGTCTGTAGCTTCCCTGTCCCTCTGGGCTCGATTTGCTCTGTGCCAAGCACATTTTGGAAGCAAAGGCAGCAGTGGGGGACTGGTGAGGTATGGGGCTGGGCTGCCACCAGCGGGAGATGGCTGCTGCATTACTGGCTTGTAACGTCGAGCCTCCCCTCCCTGCCTCCAGTGCTGGGTTCACTCTTCGGCTTCTGCCTTCTCCACGTGAGAGAAGTGGGGGGCGGGAAGAAAAGGAGCAACCAGCTCTTTAAGCTTTTGGGCCCACAAGCAATTGGCTCATGTCAGTCATCCCTTTGAAGTACCGGGGCTGTTTGTGGAGGCAGAGGATCACAGCTCAGCCCTGGACAAGCTGATTGTTTCAATCAAAGGTTTAAATGACTGCCACATGCAAATATGTGGAAGAAAAAGCTGAGCTCCACAGCAGCTCCATCATCTTGGGACCCCTCAAGAACCCAGAAGCATGGGGGTGCTCCAAGGCTCTTCAGCCATATCAGATGATTTCTTGTTGCAGCTTGCACTGTCTGTTGTCCTGAAGACAGACAGAGGGGACAGCACTTTTAAGAATTCTAGGAGCTCAGGACTTAATGCTTTAAAGCAGGTTTCACAAGTTTTTGTGGCAGCTTAGGCACATCTTCTTCATGACAGTGCTGGGGTACAGCTACAGACTCACCCCGTGCCTCAGTGTTTCCTTAAGGGCAGCTCTCAGGTGCTCCTTGTTTGGTGTGCAGGTGGGTTTCAAACTCACTGTAATGCACCCCTGCCTGACTCATGTTGGGTACCTGAGTATCTGGATCACACCTCGAGTAGCCTCTTGACTCCAGCCTTGTGGATCTCTGTTCCTCATGGGTAGGTTCCTCATAGTCTGCAGCAGTGGAAGTCGTTAAAACACTTACAAGGAATGGTAATACTGTCTTTAGAGTAAGGCATCTGTGAACGAGCTGTGAGATAGCTTGGTAAGGAGTAGAGGAAATGCCACTCATGCATCCAGGACACTAATACAACATAATAATGCGTTCACTCATTTTAAGTGGCTGCACAGCACAGAATTGCAGATTTCATTTCACATTGCTGTTCAGTTCTAGGAAAAGTTAAATGATACTTGCACATAACCGCTTTTTGTGTCCTTCCTGTTGACCCCAACTATTTGATACCTATTTGAATGCCATGACAGAGTCCAAATGACAAATGAAGGAGAATGAAAAGAGACAAGCTGTTTGTGCAAAATTAGGCAGATCTGCCTGGTGAGAGATTGTCTCTTGTGTTTCCAATAAATTAAATGAGTTTGAGAGCTATCTGTGCTGCTATCAAGCTGCTGCTCCTCACCTGAGCAGTCCAGAGATGAATCATCTTTTAAAACTGATTTTTATGTTCATGATATCCAAAGAGGAGTTGCCAGCTAATTTTCATGGGAAGTTTTGCCCTGCTTTTAGGAATGTGAAGCTAAGTCTTTTAATCTTCTCTGGCCTTCATAAACTTGGAGAAGGAAAAGACACATATGACAAGATTAAGCATTATACAAACCCTATTTTAGTTTATTCCAGTATTTTCCAAACATCAGGCACTCCTGTAGAAAATATCAAGGACCAGAGGCATAGGAATAGGTGGAGGTAGGGGAAAAGGTACAGGAGGCTTCAGATATACATACATGAAGACATGCAAGTTTTACTGCAATATACTAAGGGTATGATTGATTTCATATGAAGGGCAAATGGGCTGAATTTAAGCAAGCTGCATTTGTTCAGGGCTCCAGCTTTGGAACCATCCAATTACGTCAGGCTCAGGCTTGTTTCTAAATGCTTTTCTACCTTTTACTGCTCAATAAAACACTTCGGAGATGTGAACAGCCTATGATGTAGATGTAGATAAGCTTTCTTGAGTCAGCAGATAGCCTAAAAAAATAATCCCAAAGCTGCAGCTCTTTTCTTCCATCTCCAGGAGGTATTTATTCCAAGTTTTACCATCCTGATATGGGAAAACGGCGTAGGATGGAGGAAGAAAGACATCATGATGGCCATCCTTCCTAAGCAAACACTACCTGCTGCTGCCAAGGCAAGGGGTGCTGCCAGACTAATGTACTTGAGGGGACGGACGACTATGTCAAAGCTTCTAGGGAAGGAGGAGTATCCCACAGCTTCCATTTCTCAAAAAAGAGCCTGGCCACTACCATACCATGTTTTTGGAGTCCTGGTGTGCTGGTCCATGGCTTGCCAAACACAGCTCTCTGAGAAGGAGAACAACAAACAAACATTTATGAAATCATAATCAGAAATGTAAGCTCATCCATGCTGTGTCACTTGTGTAAGACCTCCAGCCTGCATCATGTTTTGCCCCAGCCCAGGGGTCTGCTGTCTTGAGCAGACCACAGGGTTGGAGCCTACTTATGACAATATTATTGGGTAGATTAATGTTCCACAGTTTCTCCAGTACTTCTGTTCACAGAGGAACAATTTCACAACAGGGTGCATGTAAATAAACACCAGAGCCAATGTGAGCAGGCTGAGCAAACCAGAAACACCACACTTTGCAGAGGGAGCCACTTGGGCTCAGAAAACAAGCATAGTATTGTGAGGCTTAGTATTGGTGAACACTTGCTTTTACTCTGCTGATCATGAGTAGATCTCATGCCAAAAATTGATGCTTAATGGATTATTTCTAATCATATTTCTTTCTTTTTTCTTTTTCTTCTCCCTCACTCCAGTTTTAGCCTCCTCACACCTGCAATTTAATATTGAAACATTAGCCATGTTGTGATTCCTTTTACTCCATCTTCTCTGACTTTCAGCACACAAACCATTTGGTGCAGGGACTGTATGTGTACAAACTTCATACTCTTCCAAAGTACCTTATCTATTCTGGCTCCAGAGGGAGTTCACGGTCCCAGGGACTGAGGCAAGGGATGCAAAATGCAAGGACTCTGCCCGAAAGAGCATGCCAATGCCTAAAGCTATAATCCTTGGAGTTCTGAATTGGAAGGAGGAGACAAGCTTATCAGAACCATCTCATGGCCTCTGGAGGGGTGATACATAGATCTAAAGGTTGTACACACACAGATTGCTGAGTTCCAAAGCTATGCTGTCAGTAGAGGAGCTGCTCCATCTTCCTGTGCTGTGGAAGCTCTCCTTTCCATGCCCACAGCAGTTGTATCTCAAGACCCTGGGGGAGATGGGGGCAGGTGTCATGGATGAATAGAAATCCAGGGATGCTGCTATTAAGATGTTCATCTACAACTTTTTAGCTTCTCAGTGGTTACAAGCTTATGGTGTTGTAGGGAGCAAAGGCAGATAGTAGCATGGGATTTCTGAGGATAATTGGTCTTTGCATTAAGAGGATGATTCACTGCATCCAACTTCAGATGTTTGCAGTGCAGCAAGTTCTCCACAATGAAGTGGAAATAGATACTTCTAGGGCATGGTTGATTTTGTCCTCACACAGATATCTAAAACAGGTCAGATGAATCATCTCCTGTGAGTATTTCTTTCCACTGACTATAAAGAGGACCTGGCCTCAGATGTAGACCTCTGTATTACAGATATCTGGAGTGAGGTGTAAGGGGTACTTCAGAAAGATATTCACCCCAGACGTATGTGCAGAAGCAGCCTCTATGTTTATACATCAATGTTTCATGCATAGAAAAGACAGGAAGTGTAAGTATGTCCTCAGGGTTGAACCATGGATATTAATAGATTTTGATTGCATTCTCTGGGAATACAAACATCTAGAAAATCAGTAGAAAGCAGCTAAAGTCAAAACTTTGGTGCTAGTATGTAGTTCATAGTGACTTTCAATACATATGTTTAATGCTGATGTGTATTAATTGAAGTATTTGTTTATTACAAACAATGCTGATGAAGTTTAGGACTTACCTTCTTGGCGAAGTAAATATCAATTTTCCCTCACATTTTTGTAAGGAGGTTGCACACAAAGAAGTTTCACACAGAAAAGGTGTGTGATGTGGCGCTCCCTTTGTCCACAGCTGTGGGGACCTTCCAGCTGCTTGTAGGATCATGACAGATTACAGATTGTAGCCACATGTCTTTCCTTACCCTTAGGTCAATATACTTGCTGAAAGCTACTACACTTGCTGTCTGAGTGGCAGAAGAATTGGAGTGTATTATGACTTGGTCAGGTCCCTTTCTGCAGCTGTGGCAGACAGGAGAACCAACAATGGGAGCACCGCACTCTGTTGCCACCCTCCTCTGGCCCCCTGCCCAAGGCTCCCTCAGCCTCACACCAAGGCTGTCCACCCCACATCTCCCTTACAGCTAGGAGACACATGCCCTGGGCCATACCATCAACTGTTCTGCCCACCACCTCACTAGGGCCAGTGACAGTAGCTCATGTGGGGCCCAGCCGCTGACTACCCACAGAAAAGGGTAGGGAGCTCCCTTTGCTCACAGCCATGGGTAGCTTCCAGCTCCCTGCAGAAATGTGATGAGGCACAGGCTGAGGCTATCATCTGTTCTGTAAAGAGCTGACAATTCTCCAGATGAGTGGCAGAGGAGGTAGGGCACAGGAGCGTGCCATGATGTAGTAACATCCTTGTCTGAGCATCCAGCTGTAACACACAGAAGAAGCAAGGAGGAGCAGCCACCTTCCATCACCATGGGCTGCCCCTGCCTCCCTGCTCTCTCCTCCCAGTCCTCACTCACCCGGTTACTCATCTGCCAGCCTAGGATGGTGCAGCCGTTTATTATACCTGTCCAAGGCTAGCTGTGTCACCAGCTGCCAACATTCTACCTACTACAACATGGCCACAACATCACCAGGGCTAATGCCAGGAGCTGGTGGCTGCCTGCCATGATGTGACCATGACACCATCTGGGCTGATGCATTGCTGTGACATGGCTATTCCACCATTCCAGGGTGAAGAAACAAACAAACAAAATCCCAACAACAGATAATGCTGAAGAGGGAAATCAAGCAGAAATCTGAAGAACAGCAGCTTAGCAAAGGTTAAAAAAGAAAATCAGCAGGTCTTACCTGCTGCTTAATTTTAAAGATTTGTGTGGTACTTGCTGCCAGTATCTGTGGGTTTGAAGGCTAAATTCTGGAAGAAAAATGCTTGTCAAATTGACTGAAGGCAAGATTTCACAGCTTTGGAATTACAGGCACGTCCAGTGCCAAACCCTGCACTCAGGAGTGGCTGACAGTTCTGAGGACCAGCAGTGAACTGCAAGACTCATGTCTTTCTTTCCCGGAAAGAGTAGAAGTTGCAAAGTGGACCTTCTTTGTTTACTTGGAGAGAGGAAACTGGAGGCCATACTCCCTGAAGAAAGGCAAACAGATGTTTCATGAAAGGAATAGACCTCAGAAGTATGAATCCCCAGAAGAGATACAGTGTTAATCCTCCTGACTCCCTCAGGTTCCCTGGCACTTCTTCCTTGTTTGGGCTTATGTCTACCACCGCCCAGCCACCGCCAATGCCTCTGAGTGGTATGACCACATTCTTCTGCTATGAAAATCCCAGAGCCTGGGTCCCAAGGGATCTTGCTATTGAAAATGCAGCGTTGGTCTTCTTGGGTCTGGGTTTCTTGTTTTTTGCCTCTGTGAGCTGTTTATTAAGTAGTCAAATAACAGCATACTAAGTAAATGATATCTTGCCTTCCTTGCAAGAAGTAAGACTTGCTACATTTTACAAATATGGAATAAGAAAAAAGTAAGACAAAATACATGGTGACTAACCCCATAGGTGAAAATATTTTACGATAAAACACGCTGGAAATTGGAATGGTTTGCTTCCTGTTATGTACAAAATGGCTGCAAAGGAGCTATTAAAGTCTTTCAAATAAATACAGTGCTTTGTGTGTTTGTTTGTTTCTAGTTAGAGGTATACAATCATTCAAAAGACCATGTGCTGTATAGCCTCTGCAGGGTTTGCTTTGTAGTACAGATAGTGCCTAACCACTACTTTCCTCTCTCTTGATCACTAACGAAAACAGACCATATAGAGATGAAAGTGTTCTAAATCAGTGCTCTGTGTCATTTCCCACTTACTTTGCACTTTTCTGACAGCTGAAAGGCTGCAATAAATTGAGTGCATGCACACCCACAGAGAATGACAGTACTACCATAACCTAGAAACTCAGGACGTGTATTTTCTTACCCAAGAGACTATACTGTAAAATTATCAAAGTGGGGGGTTTGTTAATGTTCTCCAGTGGAATTTCAACATTAACATTTTGGTCAATGTGATTTCTTTGTGAGTTGAGATTTCCTGCTACTTTTCAAAAAAATCAAAAAACATTTTGAACTAAACTGAAAACAAATCTAATGCTATAGCTAAATAACAGTTTCATACTAACACATGTATGAATAAAAACTCGGGCATGTAATAACAGCAGATTTTTTTTCTTTTGCTCCCTTTTTTTCCTTCTGTCCTTTCATTCCTTTCTCTCATTTCCTTCCTTCCTTCCTTCCTTCCTTCCTTCCTTCCTTCCTTCCTTCCTTCCTTCCTTCCTTCCTTCCTTCCTTCCTTCCTTCCTTCCTTCCTTCTTTCCCTCCCTCCTGCCTTCCTTCCTTCCTTCTCTCCCTCCTTCCCTCCCTCCTTCCTTCCCTCCCTCCCTCCTTCCCTCCCTCCTTCCTTACTTCCCTCGATCCCTCCCCCCTTCCTTCCTTCCTTTTTTCCTTCCTTCCCTCCCTCCCCCCTTCCTTCCCTCCCCCCTCTCCCCTTCCTTCCTTCCCTCCCTCCTTCCCTCCCTCCCTCCTTCCTTCCCCCTTCCTTCCTTCCTTCCTTCCCTCCTTCCCTCCTTCCTCCCTCCCTTCCCTTCCCTTCCTCCTTCCTTCTCTCCCTCCCTTCCCTTCCTTCCCTCCCTCCCTCCCTCCTTCCTTCCCTCCCTCCCTCCTTCCCTCCCTCCCTCCTTCCTTCCCCCCTTCCTTCCTTCCCTCCTTCCTTCCTTCCTTCCCTCCTTCCTTCCCTCCTTCCTCCCTCCCTTCCTTCCCTCCCTCCTTCCTTCCCCCCTTCCTTCCTTCCTTCCCTCCTTCCTTCCTTCCTTCCCGCCTTCCTTCTCTCCTTCCTCCCTCCCTTCCTTCCCTCCCTCCTTCCTTCTCTCCCTCCCTTCCCTTCCTTCCCTCCCTCCCTTCTTCCTTCCCTCCTTCCCCCCTCCCCCCTTCCTTCCTTCCCTCCTTCCTTCCCTCCCCCCTTCCTTCCTTCCTTCCTTCTTTCCTTCCTTCCTTCCTTTCCTCCCTCCCTTCCTTCCTTCCATCTTTCCTTCCTTCCTTCCTTCCTTCCTTCCTTCCTTCCTTCCTTCCTTCCTTCCTTCCTTCCTTCCTTCCTTCCTTCCTTCCTTCCTTCCTTCCTTCCTTCCCCATTACCTCCCTTCTCCCCTTCCTCCCTTCCCTCCTACCTTTCTCCCTTCCTCTGTTTTTCCCTTTGCCCTTCCTTCCTTCCTTCCTCTCTCCCTCCTGGCCTCCCTCCCTCCCTCCCTCCTTGCCTCCCTCCCTTCCTTCCTCCTTCCTTTCTCTCTCCCTCCCTCCCTCCTTCCCTCCCTCCCTCCCTCCCTCCCTCCTTCCCTCCCTCCCTCCCTTCCCCTTCTTCCTGTCCTTCTGTCCTTCCTTCTACCCTCCTGCCCTTCCTACTGCTCTTTCTTCTTCTGTTTCTGCCTTTCTTTCTTTCGTCTTCCACTTGTAATTTTGCTTTGTAGGTAGTTGAAGATCTGGTTTATTTTAAAACAATGAAGAAGGCAGAATCCCCTGAGGTAAATTCATTGAGTACTGGGAGGTCTTGGTAACACAATTGAACTGGCACTAAATCAATAAAAACAGAACAGAAAAAAAAAAATAATTAAAACATTCTGTCAAAAAAATGGAGCAGTAATTAAAAGATGCAAACTATTGTTTTGCTACACTAATTACATTTTAATTTTCAATAGCTTGCTGAATAGTATAAAAGCCCATGCCTATAAAATGTCCCAGTGACAGTGCTCTTTCTGCAACTAGCGTGATAACAGTGTTTATGTGCTGTAACAGAGTGGTATGTGCTTTCAACTCTGTGTGGGTGAAACTAGCTTCCCTAGCTTCCTTGCAAGATAGCATGACAACAAAGTTGTTTTGCTTTTTTTTTTTCTGGTGTGGAAAATTATTACTCAACACACACTCACACACACACACGCACGCACATATACATGCACACAAAAACAGGCTTAGGCCAAGAGACACTCTGCTCACGGCACTTCCATTGACCTCAATGGGAATTTTGTGTGTGGCGCAATAATGGGTTGTTGGCCAGCATGAATACTGTACTTAGGTTTAGACCATGTTGTTTTCTTCACATGTTTCTGAAGGATGAAGAGAAAAACAAATTGAATTTTCCTATTAATACACACCATTTGCAACCCTAACACATGCAACCTTTTAGGCAGAGTCCTGAGGACTTTTCTCACAGAGCAATCCTCATAGATTTCACTGGTAGATACCCATACATAAAAGCAACATAATAAAGCCCATATTGTGTACCATTATGAATCATAATTGTCCTGAAAAAAAATTACGTAATTCATTTAGCTCTTTTTGCAAAAAGTTTAAGGCACAGATTTCCATAGGCAGATTGAAGAAACGCTCCAAATCAAGGGTATGTGGAAAGGAGTTTGTTACTGTTGTTTGCAGCAGCTCAACGCAAAAACGAGTTATTCAGATGAGTCCTGGCAAAATCTGGATCCATTAGCTACAATCTGCTTCTCTACAGCTGTAGTTTACGCACTCTGCCTTTCATATCATCTCAATTGAATGATAGAGCTCTCCCAGAAACAGGCATCCCATGTGTTCAGACGTGCCCCTAAAACAATAGATCACTTCCATCAAAGTGGGAGCGGCGGGGAAATAATTTCTCAGAAACTAATCCCTAGATTTCAGATGTATGAAATCAATGAAATGCCTCAATCCATGAAAATGGTCAGCATTGCTAAACAATATTTCACAACTGCATAGCTTTTCTACATTTGCAATGTAATTTGGAATTACTTTGTAATAATATGAAAAATAATAATAAAATAAGACTGTGCCAAATGATGGAATAAAGTTAGTGCCCTCCAAAACCTCCTAAATTCACCTCTCCATTGCATGTATTCATTCCCATTTATCTGGGAAGAGTTAACAAGGTATAAATCTGGACAGTGTCAGCCTACTATCTGGAAATATATAACAAGTAAATTTAAAAGGGAAGCCAGGATAACAATATTACCAAAATCAGGCTCACTTACACTGTATACAACATCTGTATGTTCTTCTAGGGAGTGATAAGGTGATACTGATCACACCAACAGTATTGGTACTTTTTGGAATGGAAGCTAACCTGGAGGTTAGGAAAGTTACTATAAATAGTACCATTTGCATCCTGTGGAAAACTGCAATTACACATTTTCACACACCAAAGTTGCAAAACCAAAACAAATACAAAACCCGGAGCAAAATCTGGCCAAACATAAAAAAAAACAAAACAACTCTAGTTTAGAAAACTAGTCCCTTAGCTTCTGGGAATAGCCCAAATTGAAGGGGGTTTAGTGCTGATGCAAGAATAAATTGCTTAAAGAATTATTTCATGGACACATAGTATTCCCCAAATCCCTATTATTATGATGCTAGTGAAATATCCCGATTTACTGAAATTAAACAAAGACAGATATTTATTTAGAATTCCTGTAACTGCTACAACCAATAAATGTGTTTCATCACTATGATTGCAAAAACAAATACCTACCAGAGAAATGCAGTTCACAACAGCACATAACTGAATGGAAATAGAAATTTTGTTAATGTTATGCTAATACTCATGGCAGATGTATTGGACTAAAGG